AAGGAAGGATGGAAGGAAGGGGAAAAGGAAAAGAAAGAGAAGAAAGAAAGAAAAGAGAAAAGGCAGAGAAAGAAAGAAAAAAGAAAAGAGAAAAGAAGGTTTAGGATGGCTCACAAAGAACCTGGCCTATAGTATACCTGTGCCCTAAAAGGTCCAGCAGTTGTTACCGTGTCAATAGATATGGTTCCAGTAGAGTGAGCTGCATCCTAAGGCCCACCCTCTTCCTGGGAGCAGCGCTGGCCTGATGGCCGTCCACAGACAGTGGAATGCCCCTGCCACAATCCCAGCCCTCTGGAGCTAGCTCTAGGGTCACATGCTCTGTCATCCTGATGCACAGCCAAACAGGACTTTGTATTTAGATAAATAATCGGCTACTTCCCAGGGGGATTCTACGGGTTCTCTTCTCGATGGGCCTTTTATGTTTCCAGTGTGCTAAGAGATGAATGTTAAGTTGGTGATATTTCACATACCTTTGAGATGCAAGAAAGACAGAAACTCAATGATTGTGCGCATGATATTGTTCTCAGGCATGGACCTGTCAAAGCTTCCTAGAAAAGAGAAAAGATCAACATTCACGACTTGTGCAGAGGGTGCTTCTCTGTCTCCGGTCATCCCCCTCCACAGAGGAGCTGGGCGCTATGAGGTCAATGATCTGATCCCAGCAGCCTGAGGCCCGGCTGTGCTTTCCAAGGCCCTTGTTCAATGTGAGGGAGAGGGGAGAGATCCAGTTCAAGGCCTCGCTCTTCTTCTTTTTTTTTTTTTGAGACGGAGTCTCGCTCTATTGCCCAGACTGGAGTGCAGTGGCGCGATCTCGGCTCACTGCAAGCTCCGCCTCCCGGGTTCATGCCATTCTCCTGCCTCAGCCTCCCAAATAGCTGGGACTACAGGCGCCCGCCACCACGCCTGGCTAATTTTTTGTGGTTTTAGTAGAGAAGGGGTTTCACCGTGTTAGCCAGGATAGTCTTGATCTCCTGACCTCATGATCCGCCCGCCTCGGCCTCCCAAAGTGCTGGGATTACGGGTGTGAGCCACCGCGCCCGGCCCCACTCTTCTGGAGGCCCTGGTGCCCAGGCAGCCTCCCAGTCTAGAAGGACTCCTTGCTGTCTCGGGTTTGCAGATTGTGTTTGCAGCTGCTGACAGGTGTGGCGAGGCCACATCCTCTTAAGTCATGGCCAGGCTTGGGCTGCAGCTGTGGACAGATGGGTGGCAGGTGTCCCGACACCCACAGCTGTCCCCCACTGCATGCACCTGGGAGCTGCTGGAAGTGAGGCGCCCGGGAGCCCGGGATAGGAGTCCTCTCACCTGGTTTCACGTCGTCTTGCGGCTGCAGCTCCCGCTTGCTGGTGAGGCCATTCTTGTCGCTGAATGACCTGTGGTTGCCAACAGCATCTGTTTGCAGATCAGAGAGGAAAGCCTCTGGGTGTGACTGTCATGCACCCTCTCCCCACACCCAAAGAAGGACACAGGGCTGCCTGTAGCCAACACACACACACAACTTGACTGTGAAATAGAGCCCAGGGACAGACCCCAGAGAAGAGGGGGCGATTCTCCACCAAGCTGAGGTAAGAGCTTGGCCGCTTGCACCAAGGCCAAAGGGAATGTGAGGGTTTGCACAGGAGGGGTGGGAGAAAGGGAGGTGTGTCTCCTGAAGGGCGGGAGAGGCCAGGAATCTGCCCTGTTGCAGGGGTTGTGCCCGGGTCCAGAGGAGCTGACATCTGAGCTGGCACTGAGCTGGCATCAAGCTGGGTGCCTCCCCGGCAGACAACAGGGGCTGGATCCTCATGTCCCTGAAAGCATGGGGGCCACTGAAGAGTTTAAGTTGTGACTGAATCCGATTTTTATTTTCACTCTGGCAGCTGTGTGCAAGATGGACTGGAGCCAGGGAGACAGAAGGAGAGAGATAGAGGGAGCAAGACAGTCACAGAGGGAGAGAGAGAGGATGGCGGGGGAAGAAATGGAGGTGCGGGGGCGTGTGTGCGTTCGCGCGTGTGTGTGTGTGTGTGTGTGTGTGTGTGTGTGTGTTGTGGTGCGAAAATGGGGGAACTGTGATTGCAAGCAAAGAGATCCCAGAAGTCCAGGGAAGAAACGATAACAGCTGTAAACCAAGGGGCGTGGGGTGAGGAGAAGGGCTGCATTTGGGGCTGTGCAGGAAAGGAAATGGAAATGAGAGATGGGGAGGAGGGGGAGGACGCCTCCGCGTTTCCGGCTGGTTGGCCTGGTGGACCGTGCCATCTACAAGGCCAGACAAAGGAAAATTAACTCCTATTTCCAGAGATGCTGTCCTTGGTGTTAAATTTATAGAGGAACCGTAGGTTGCCCCATCTCACTGATGAACCTTCAGCCACGGCCACACTGCGTTCAGCACTGGTGAAAAAACATTGATTTTGCTGCATTTTCTAGCTGACCCTAGAAATCAGAGGCACACTGTTAAGTATTTTGACAAACAACGGGTCTAGCTACAGCTGAACCAGGCCATAAAATTGATGGCGAAATGAGTTTGTTTTCTAATTAGGGTTCAAACTCTTCTTGACACATAGATTTTCAATATTCCAAAGCAACACAGATAAATGTTCTTGTTGACCAGTTCCTCCTTTGTTTGGGGCCGTAGCACACAAAGTTGAGGTGCCCTCTGAGAGGCAGAGCTCAGGGTTGCAAAGGGTTGAGGAGATCAGCCTCAGGCAGGTCAGGCCGCTCCACCGGCAGGGAGAGGAGGAGAGGGCCGTGCAGAGAGACCAGGAGGCCCTGCAATGAACAGCCGGGTCCACCCCGCACGCGGCCTCAGGCAGCTCTCTCATCCCCGTGTCTGTTTCTTAAAACCTGACTCTGGGGGTCCTCCGAGTGACCCTGATGAACAAGTGTCTGCGGGAAGAGGAAGCTGTATTCGACTCAGGGACTGAGAACTAAGGCAGCTTTCCTTGGCATGGGGAGAAGAGCCTGAGGCCCCGCTGTGCTTTCCAAGGCCCTGGGAAAGGGTCTCCTCATTTGCTGCTCTGGCGGGGCTCAGATAGGCCCTGCAGGCTGTTTGCATCCTTCCTCTGGCAGAAGACAATGCAGGGAGGCTTTTAAGGTGGATGGGAGGGGTGGAGGGGAAGGTGAGTTACAGAAGGGAGCCAAGGCCTCCTCTTGTCCCCTCCTTTGAAGGACGGTCTGAAGGCATTGCTGCACAGACCAAGGATGTGGAGAAAGTAGAGGCCTGGGGCACTGGCGGGGGCGGACATGGGGAGGTGTCAGCCTGCGGAGTCCTATCTAGGGCTAGGGCTCACCTCAGGCAGCACCCGGACACCGCTGACACGGATGACAACAACAGGACAGGGAGAGGGAGAGGGAAGGGACACAGGCTTGGGCAGTCAGGGTCAGCTGAACCTCGTTTTGAGGACAGCCTGTCTGGGCTGCCTTCAGGCGATCTGGCAATTCCGGTGTGGAGCTTGGAGAAAGGGAAGAGGGAGGCAAGACTTGGGGTCCGCTGACCTAGGGTGCTCTGCAAGCCGAGTTGAGTGTTTGGGGAGACCGGGGGCCTGGGGAGAGGCCCGGAACAGGGCCTCTAAGGACTGCAACGCGGGAAAACCGAGGAGAGAGCTTGAGCAAAGCCCAGGGTAGGAATCTCACACCGGGACAGGGTGGCAGAGCCGGGGTAGGAGAAGCTTCTGGAAAGAACCGTGCACAGATCAAGTGTGCAGGCCAATGGAGACGGGCAGTGAGGTCAAGAGGGAGGCCGGAAGGTCTGCCCAGCCGCAGGCGGAGGGGCAGGAGCCAGGGTTCAAAGCGAGGGGGCAGGTGGGGTCAGGAGTGGGGAGGCCATGCTGTCAGTCACTTACGTGGGCCCAGCAGGTAGCCCGCGCTGTTCAGGGTCCAGCCTCGTTTTTCCTTGGCCTTGAGGGGAGAAAAGGGGGTCAGATGCCAGGGCTGTGCCTGGAGCCTTTGCTGAATGGGTGCACCCAGGCTTTCCGGCACGGCAGAGGACTTAGAACAATGCATGTGCTTTTGGATAACTCGCGAAATTCCAGGTTTACCCCTAAGTAAGCCGTATTTGACATATGGGAGATACTTCACTTGCGGGTCGCAGCTCGCGCATTCTCAGCGCACTGCACCCGCTTTACGTGACTCTGAGGCCACGCCGGTGGCTCCTCAGCCTCTGTTCTAACTAAGCTCTGCGGAACGCGGAGCTTCTCGCTTTCCCGAAGCGCTGACCCGAAGCGCAGCACTCTCTGGGCGGCCTGGTTATAGCCCGGTGCTGTTGATGAACTCGGAGAAGCGCGCAGGGGAATCCCAGGGAGCTCCGGACCCTTCTCGAGACGCCCGTGGCCAGGACAGCGCCCGCACTAGCCTTTCTACCACTGTCCCCGAGGGCAGG